GCACCTGGCATAGAGTGGGAACTCAAAGAACATTCCATAAATAAACAAATTAATACAGAAGTTTTCAATTTCCTTCATAACTTACATTCATTTAGAAAGTTCAGTGTCATAACTAAATCAATAAAATGAAATGTAATTCTAGAAAAAAAAAAAGGCATGATATTCCTAGGTCCTATTGACCATGTCACTTTTCTCACAGGGAAAAGTAAAACGATTTTAAACATTAGAATTTTGTATTTTGCAATAATTTGTTGCAAGTTTAAGGATACCTAAGTAACAATCTTCAGTGGAAACTTGTTTTGGGGACTTACTGTGCAAAAATATGTGTGTGTGTGTGTGTGTGTGTGTGTGTGTAGGCCACCCAAGCATTTAATATATATATTCTTTAGACAAAACGAACGGGAAAATGGGAAAAATTAAAGATAGACAAAGGAGAGATGCCAGTCCACCTATAGATTTAACTTACTTTTATTTATTTATTTATTTATTGATAGATAACATGAGATTATGATTAATAATGTAATCGATTTTATCAAACTAGGAACAATCACCAGCGAATTACCTAAAATGTCTCTGACGACAACAGTTACTTTATTAATAACAAGTAAAGATGAAGGTGAGTAATGATTCATTTTTCTACCATTTTAAAAAATACATAATTCACATAATGTAATAGTCACCCTTTTAAAGTGTACAATTTAGAAGTTTTTAGTATATTAACAAGATTGTACAGCTACCACCACTATTAATTTCAGCACATTTTAATCTCCCCAAGAGGAATCTCTGTATCAATTACCAATCACTTCCCATATCCCCCTCCCAGCCTCTGGTAACCATGAACCTCCTTTATAGATTTGCCTATTCTGGACATTTCATATAAATGGAATCATACAATATATGACCTTTTGTGTCTGGATTCTTTCAGTTAGTATGATGTTTTCAAGTTCATCCATGTTGTAACATGTATCTGTAGTTCATTCTTTATTATCACTAAATAATATTGCATTTTATGGATATACCATATTTTGTTTATCCATTTATTAATTGATGAACATCTGCATTGTTTCTACTTGCTAATGATTATAAATAATGCTGCTATGAACATTTATGTGCAAGTTTTTGTCTGCCCACGTTTTTCATTTCTCTTAAGTATATGTCTTGAGGTTGAATTGCTAAGTCACAGGGTAACTCTATGTTTAACATTTTAAGGAACCAATTTCCAAAGCAGCTGTACTATATTACTTTTCCACCAGCAACATATAAGAGTTCCAATATCTCCATATTCTAGCTAACACTTGTCTGTCTTAATTATATTTGTCTCAGTGGGTGTGAACTGGTATCCCTTTGTAATTCTGACTTATATTTCTCTAATGATTAATGATGTTGAACATATTTCATGTGTTTGGTAGCCATTTGTATATCTTCCTTAGAAAATGTTAGCTCAAATTATTTATACATTTTTTTAAAAATTTGGCTATTTGTCCTCTTATTGTTAAGTTGTAAGAGTTCTCTCTACATTCAAGACTAGACCTTTATAAGATAGATAATTTGCAATTATTTTTCCCATTCTATAGGTTATCTTTTAATTTTGTTGGTAGTATCTTTTGAAGCCTGAAAATCTCTGATTTTCATGGGGTAGAATTTCATGGAGAAGAGTTCAGTCCTGTTGACCAATGCTGGCTGCAGATGTTGCAGTTTTCAGAGCATCGCATTGATTTGCTGAGCATACTTCTCAGATGTAATGGTTTCGCCAGATTCAGAAAGCTGCAGTGGATCTGACAGGCAGAAGACCACCAAACAGTGACCATGACCTTTATTTGGTGCAAGTTTGGCTTTGGGAAATGCTTTGGAGCTTCTCCTCAGTCCAACCACTGAGCTAGTTGTTGCCAGTTGTCATATAAAATCCACTTTTTGTCGCACATCACAATCAGATCAAGAAATGGTTTGTTGTGTTAGAATAAGAGAAGATGACACTTCAAAACCACGATTTTTTTTATTTTCACTCAGCTCACGAGGCACCCACTTATCCCCTAAACGGCTGTAGAATCATTGAGGTTTGAGTTCTTTGGCAACTTCTCATGTAGTTGTTAGAGAAACAAGCTTCAATGATTGATCTCAATTGGTCATCGTGGCCTTCCGATGTCTGCCACTAAGCTCCTCATCTTCAAGGCTCTCATTTCCTATGCAAAACTTCTTGAACCACCACTGCATTGTATGTTCATAAGCAATTCCTAAGACAACTGCTTTGTTGATATAGTGAGTTGTCTGCGCCTCTTTTACGACCCATTTTGAACTCAAATAAGAAAATCGCTTGGATTTGCTTTTTGTCTAACATCATTTCCATAGTCTAAAATAAACACAAAATAAACAGCAAGTGATGTCATTAGCAAAAAAAAAAAAAAGAAACCGGAAATGCCCATTAAAATTGTATATAACATGGATGGGCGCAGTGGCTCATGCCTGTAATCCCAACACTTTGGGAGGCCAAGAAGTGTGGATCACTGGAGGCCAGGAGTTCAAGACCAGCCTGGCCAACATGGTGAAACTGTGTATGTTTATGTCTCTACAAAAAATACAAAAATTAACCGGGCGCTGTGGCACGCATCTGTAATCCCAGCTACTCGGAAGGCTGAGGCAGGAGAATTGCTTGAACCCGGGAGGCGGAGGTTGCAGTGAGCCGAGATTGGGCCACTGCACTCCAGCCTGGGTGACAGAATGAGACTCCATCTCAAAAAAAAATATATATATATACACACACACACACACACACACACACTCTTCTAGAATATATATATTTCTAGAATATATGTCTATATATATTCTAGATGCATATATCTGGAAGTTCATTTTATGATAGGGATATATATATATATAAAAAACATAATCACATTTATTTAAGAATGTATGCCAATATCAAATGGCACATCCCAACAATGTAAAAGCTGCAATTACATTTGCATCCACCTAATATGAGTTTTTTCTGGACTCCTGAATCGACTCCACTTATACCTATATGCCAATTATTATATCAGAATCATGTACTCTTGATTACTATCACTTTCTATTAAGTTTTGAAAAAAGGAAATGTGAGTCCTCCAACTTTTTCTTTTTTATCCAAGCTTGTTTTGGCTATTCAACTTTATCATGCCAATTTTATTACGCTAATTTTAATGCGAATTTTAAGATCAACTTGTTGATTTCTGCAAAGCCAGCTAGGATTGTGATAGGGATTGCACTGAATCTGTAGATCAATTTGAGGAGTATCACCATCTTAACAATCAGGGCTTTCAATTTATGAGCACAGGATGTCTTTCCATTTATCTATGTCTTCTTCAATTTATTTTGATGATGTTTGTAGTTTTCAAGTGTGGAAAGTTTAAGCTTAAACTTATTTTTGTTAAATTTATTCCTAATATTTTATTCATTTTAAATACAATTATTTTGTAATGAAATCGTTGTTTTATTTCAAGTTTGGATTATTCATCACTACTATATGTAAATATAATTTATTTTTGTATATCAATATTATATCCTCCCACTCTATTGAACTAATTTATTAGCTCGAATTTGTGTGTGTATATATGTATGTGTATTTCTTAGAATTTTCTATGTACAAGATTATGTCATCTGCAAATATAGTTTTACTTTTTCCTTTCCAACGTGGATGACTTTCTTTTATTTATAATTTTATTTTATTTATTTTATTGCCTAACTACCCTGGCTAGCACCTTCAATACAAGGTTGAGTAGAAGTGGTGGGAGGAGATATCCTTGTCTTGTTTCTAACTTTCAGGGAAAGCTGTCAGTTTTTCACCAGTAAGTATGATGTTAATTATGAGTTTTTAATAGATGACCTTTATCAGAATGAGGAAGTTCCCTTTTATTACTAGATTGTTGAGTGTGTTTATTATGCAAGGGTATTGGATTTTTTTAAATGCCTTGTCTTATTATATTGAAATTGTCATGTTTTTAAAAAATTCCTTACTTTGTTAATGTGGCATATGATATTGATTTCTATATGTTCAGTCAACCTTGAATTCCTAGGCTAAATGCAACTTGGTCATGGAGTATAATTCTTTTTACGTGGTGCTAAACTTTATTTATATTATTTTGTTAAGAATTTTTCTGTCCATATTCATGAAATATATGTTTGCAGTTTTCTTGTCATGTATTTGTCTAATTTTGAAATCAAAATAATACTAGCCTCATACAATAAGTTGGGAAGTGTTCCCTTCTCTACTAATTTTTGAAAGAGTTTTTGAGGATTGGTGGTAATTGCTCTTTAAATGTTTGGTAGAATTTTCCAGGGAAGACCCTGGTGCTAAGCTTACTTTATGAATTTTTTTTAAATACTAACTTAATTTATTTACTTACTATAAGTCTATTAGATTTTCTATTTCTTCTTGTCTCAGTTTTTGTAGTTAGTGATTTCCTAGGAATTTGCCCATTTAATCTGGATTATCTAATTTGTTTGCATATAATTGTTCATAGCATTGCCTTATAATCCTTTTAATTTCTGTAAGGTTGGTAGTAATGAATCATCGTTCATTCATAATTTTGATAACTTGACTCCTCTCTCTTATTTCTTTATCAGCATAGCTAAAAATGTCTCAATTTTATAGATCTTTTCAAAGAACAAACTTTTGGTTTTATTTTTTTCTATGTTGTGTTTCTATTCTCTATTTTATTTCATTCGTCTCTAATCCCTAGTGTTTCTTTCCACTGTTTCATATGGGTTTAGTTTGCTCTTCTTTTTCTAGTTTCTCAAATTGGCCAGTGAGGATTTTGATTTGAGATTATTCTTCTTTTTAATATGTGTTAACACCTACAAATTTCCTTGTTTCTGTTGCTGTCTCTGCATTCCATAAATTTTGGTATACTATGTTTTCATATTCATTTATGGCAAAGTATTTTCTAATATTTTTTATGATTTATTCCTTGATGCCTCTATGTGTTCTTGTGTTCTCATCATTTAGCTCCCACTTATAAGTGAGAACATGCAATATTTTATTTTCTTTTCCTGTGTTAGTTTGTTAAGGATAATGTTCTTCAGCTTCATCCACATTCCTGCAGAGGACTTGATCTCATTCTTTTTATAGCTGCATGGTATTTCATGGTGTATATGTACCATATTTTGTTTATCCAATTCGTCATTGATGAGACATTTAGGTTGATTGCATGCCTCTACTATTCCGAATAGTGCTGCAATGAACATATGTGTGCTTCATAATAGAGCGATTTCCATTCATTTGGTTATATATCAAGTAAAGCGATTGTTAGACTGAGCGGTATTTCTGTTTTTAGGTCTTAAAGAAATTGCCATACTGTTTTCCACAATGTTTGAACTAATTTACACTCCCACCAACAGTGTATAAGCCTTCCTTTTTCCCCACAACCTCACCAGCACCTGTTATTTTTTAACATTTTAGTAATAGCCATTCTAACTGCTGTGAAAGAGTATCTCATTGTGGTTTTGATTTGCATTTCTCTAATAATCAATGATGTTGAACTTTTTTATATGATTGTTGGCTACATGTATGTCTTCTTTGTAAAAGTGTCTGTTCGTGTCCTTTGCTCATGTTTTTATGGAGTTGTTTTTTCTTGTAAATTTAAATTTCTTAGAGATGCTGAATATTAGACCTTTGCTGGATTCAGAGTTTGCAAAAATTTCCCCTATTCTGTAGGTTATCTGCTTATTCTTTTGATAGGTTATTTTGCTATGCGGAAGCTTTTTAGTTTAATTCAATCCCATTTGTCAACTTTTGCTTTTGTTGCAATTATTTTTGGTGTTTTCATCATGAAATCTTTGCCCATGCTTATGTCCTGAATGGTATTGTCTATTAAACTAATATTGAAAATCTTCACAGAACTGGAAAAAATTATTTAAAAATTCATATGGAACCCAAAAAAGCCCAAATAGCCAAGGAAATCCTAAGCAATAAGAACAAAGCTAGAAGTATTATGTTACCTGACTTCAAACTATATTACTGGGCTACAGTAACCATAGACCAATGGAACGGAATAGAGAATCCAGAAATAAGACCACATACCTGCACTATTTAATCTTCAACAAAGCTGCCAAAAACAAGCAATAGGGAAAGGACGCCCTGTTCAATAAATGAAGCTGGAATAATAGGCTAGTCATATGCAGAAGAATAAAACTAGACCCCTTCCTTACAACATATACAAAAATTAACTCAAGATAGATTAAAGACTTAAATTACTTATTTTATAAACTTTGACTCTTAACTCCTTATCAGATATATAATTTACAAATTATTTTTCTCAATTTGTAAGCTGATTTTACATTTTGCTAATTGTTTCCTTTACTGTGCACTAGGTTTTTAGTTTGATGTAGTCCCATTTTTTTACTTTTGCTTTTGTAGCCTGAGATTTTGATGTAATATCCAAAAATAATCACTGAGCCCAATGTGAAGGAGATTTGCCCCTATCTTCTCTTCTGGAGGTTTATGATTTCAGGTATTACATTTAGGTCTTTTATCCATTTAGAGTTGACTTTTGTGTGTTGTGTCAAATAAGGGTACAATTTCATTCTTTTGCATGTGGTTATACAGTTTCCCCAGTGCAATTTATTGCAGAGACTATCCTTTCCTTATAGTAACCTCTTGGCACCCTTGTTGAAAATAATCAATTGACCATATATGTTTAGATTTATACCAGGACTCTCTATTTTATTCCACTGGTCTATGTGTCTGTTTTCATGCCAGTATTATACTGTTTGGATTACTGTAGCTTTGTGATATAATTTTAAATAATTAGGAAGTGTGATGCCTCTACTTTTATTTTTCTTTCTCAAGATTGTTTTGCTATTCAGGATCCTTTGTGGTTCCACACAAATTAATTTTTTTCTATTTCTGTGAACAATGACTTGTGAATTTTGATAGGGATTTTTAAAAATCTATAGATCAATTTGGGTACTATGGACATTTTAATATTAATTATTTTAATCCATGATCATAGGGTATTTTTGCATTTATTTGTGAATTATTTAGTTTTTATTAATGTTTTATAGTTTTCAGTGTGCAGCTCTTTCATTTCCTTGATTAAATTTATTCCTAAATGTTTTAAAAGCATCTTTGATTCGTGTAAAACCAAATATACCACAGTACTAGTAGTCTACAGCATGTATTTTAGTAAATGCTAATTTTGTCAAAAGTCTCTTACCTTTTATTCTATTGCTTAAGACAAAGTGGTCAGACATTTTTCCTGTGGGCATCAGATAAAACAATGCTATAATTCAAATTATGTACTTCCAAAGGAATAAAACTGCCAATCTCCCTCCCTGTAAAATTAAAATCCATGATCACAAACCCTCCCTTCAAGTTAATTGATAACTACACATTAGATTCTTAATGTAGTTAATATCCTGATTTACAGTTTTCCTCAATAAACTTAATTCCTCAAAATATACAAAATAAATTTCATGTTAATAATTCCAAGATAATTATAAAACAGACCCTCTCCCTCACACTCCTCTCAGCCCTATGCAGTGGTTTTCACCTAAGGACATGCATGGAATCAAGATTTCTTTTATCCATTTACAATCTGGTACTGATACGACTCCCTCAAGCATCTCTTGTGTTAAATTCTCATTTTTTCCAACTCAAATATGGATAAATTCCTTATGTTTTGTCTTTAATGCATCCCACCTATACCAAAAGCTAAGACTTAAACATACATGAATCTCAAAAACACAAGTCATAAATGTAAAGCCAAAGTAGCTTGATGCAATTCTCTAATAAATTAATATTTCTCCAGAAAAATTATGTTTGTGAAACCTAATGCATGCACTATTGTCTAGGATTATAGTGCAATTCATAACTGTAGATGAAAGCAGGTACATATTGTTATGTAAGGGAAAGTAGAAAGCATTTAGATTTAAAGACTAGCTTCAAGATTGATTTACTTTTTATCTGAAGGTGTGAATTACTCATTGGCAGTAGTCTGGAATAAACTATGTGTTAACCATAAACACAACTGGAAGTTTTCTCAAAAAGATGTTAATATGACTATGATTCTCATATCTTAATAAATGTTAGTCAACCATGCGTAGATTCTTCTCTCCTGAGACTAGGATTTGAAGCATTTCTGTATATTAGTAAAGTTTAAAAATTTGTGGCTGTGGCAGCATCTTTTATTCTATTCAGTTTGGGTTTACCATGAATATTTTAAAATATTTTGATTTACCTTAAACATTCAAGATTTGCTCCATGGCCTACTTCATGTGGTATAACTGACAACCTGTCCTACATTGAGTGTAGGCTCTAATTCTCATTTGTGAAATATATTCCACATTTATAATAGGCAATTCTTTAAGCAAAATCTTTAGCGTTACATTCCCAGCTATTCCATTATTTTTCTCCTTTCTTTGTATATTTCCAATCTGGGAGCCCTCCACATCTTTCTTAGCTATATATTCTCTTTCCCTCCACCAAGACTGTTCAGTCTGCTTGATACTAGGGAACTCTTTAGGCTTTCAGGATAGCTTTTTCATGCTTTCCAATTTTAGTTCAGCTGAAGAATTCTTCTCCAAAGATTTCTGAAGAGAAACTCCTGTTCTGATCTTTCCCAAACATATGTTGGAATTCCAGTGGGAAGCAAAATCTTTACCCTCCAGGAGTTCCTCCATCCTCAAATGTTGAGTTTCGGCACCTTGGGTGACCTGTCCCACTTCCATGCTAACAAGAATACCAATTTCTGCTTTCTTGCTATAATAAGGCATATCTCTACTTCACATATTTTCCTCCCTATTTAACCTCTGAAATGTATGGCCATTCCCACTCATTCTCATATGCAGGATTAACACTGTAGACTACATTTCAATTTATTTCATTTTGTTTGCACACTAATTTCCAAAGGCCTTTTACCTGAAGGAAAATATATTTATCTACTGTCTATGAAGTCTTCTTGCAAACAATCCCTTTCTTCAGCATGACTTCCTCAACTGCACTAAGAATTTGTATTACACAGTAGATATTTGTTGACATAGAATGGAAGTTGACTGCACTTCTAGAAAGCACCAGTAGTTCTTGCTCCATTCTACTCCGTGTTAGACATCTACTAAACTGCTTTCCCCTCATCTCCAGGTAGCGTCACATCTAGCTAACACCAAGCATGCAGTAAATGGCATGTCTGCATTTCTTCACTAGCCCAATGTTTCCATACTAGACTGAAAAAACTGAAAGGCATTGATTTTTTTTCAGAATATATAGGCAAATATAAGTTGTTTCAAGTCATCTTATTCAAATGTTATCTTTGAAAAGCTCAGCTTATATTTTTGTTGTAAATTTTTCTTTTTTTTCAAAGAAAATGAACTAATTATAATTAAAAGTGTATTCCATTTATGTCCTATTATCCCTTATCTCCTGACTATTCCACCTGCTTGAAAATATTTTCCCAAGTGGCATGAGAACAATAGTGCTATACTTAATTACTACCACATCCTTACCTTTCTTTTCCCAGGGTAACTGAGTGATTAACTTTTGCATCAGAAAGGCTTGAATTCAGGTCATGGTTCTCTCCTATTACAAGTTATGTGATTGTGGGGAAATTATTTAATTTCTCTGAGTCTTATATATAAAATAATTATCATCATGATTACTTAATTCATAAGATTACCATGATAATCAAGTGAGATAACCTACACAAGAAAGTTAATGTCCCTCTACATTCTTTAAAGTAATTAATTATATCACCAAAAGGTGAATGTTAAAATGCTGGATTTCTAAGGCTTGGTCAGAAGACTTCTAGAAATTAATCTTCAAGTTTTAGTTGGATATTAATATGAATATTAATAAGATGATCTGGTGATTTGTTATACTCCTGATGACTGTTCATTCTTTTTACAGGATTAAGAGTCACAACTCCTGATGTCAGGGAGAATAAGTCCATCATTTCAAACATAACAGTAACAAGTGTTACACCTCCAAATGCTGTTTCAGCATTGCAAAGTTCCAAACCCAAGAGTAAGTATGAGGATTTGTGCTGAAGTGTTAAACTAGTGTGTTGGATAAAACTAGTTTCAGAATGTTTTCCAGCATACAACTGCCAAGGAATTATGTCCTGTTTAAATTGTCTCTTAGTCTCTACCCAATAGAACAATCATTTGGCAGCCTCATCTTTTACAGAGATACCCTATTACACTGCAGCCACAAATGAATGGGTCACAACGAAGATTAACGCAAGACTGGGCAGTAATCTATGATATTACCTGGCACTAAAAGGACAGCTCAGCCAACAAATTAGACAACTTAGATGAAATGGGAAAATCGTCAGAAAGAAATAAATTGCTAAAACTGACTCAAGAAGATATGGAAATCTGAAGAAAAAAAAAACCTATAATGATTAAAGAAATTGAAATGGGAACTAAAAATATTCCTATAAAGAAAACCCCAAGCCAAGATGGCTTCAATTGTCGATTCTATAAAGTATTTCAGAAATAAATCATACTAACTCTTCCCAAACTCTTTTAGAACGTAAAGGAGGGGAAAACACTGCACAAATTATTATCTGAGGCTAATGTTACCCTGATACCAAAGCAAGAAAAGAATGAAAAGAAAAAGCAAGTAAAGAAAACTACAGACCAATATGGCTCTTAGACATAGATGCAAATATCCTCGATAAAATATTGCAAAAAATAAATAACAAGTGAAAAAGAATATAAAATATGAACAAGTCAGATTTATCCCAGAAATGCAAGATTGGTTTAACATATGAAAACCAAATAAAGTAATACAACAAATTAGTAAAATCAGTACATGTAGAAAGAGCATTCAGCAAAATCTAACATTCATTCATATTAAAAACTCTCAATAAACTAGAAATATAATGAAATTTCCTCAACTTGATAAAGGGCATATACAAAAAGCCTACAGCTAACATCATACCTAATAAAGAAAGACTTAATGTTTTCCCCTTAAGATCTGGAACATACCAAAGATGTCTGTTCTTATCAATTTTATTCAACATTATAGCCAGAGGTTTTAGACAGTACAATTCAACAATGGATAATACATAGATCCATTTAGATTGAAAAGGAAGAAATAAAGCATTTTTATTAGCAGACTACATAATTATCTATGTAGAAAATTCAAAGAATTCACTATAAAACTACTAAAACCACTAAAGAGCAGTTTGTAGCACAAGATATAAAATACATAAAAGTAAATTATATTTTTGTGTGTTAACAGTGGCAATCCAAAATAAAATTGAGAAAATAATTCCATTTTCAATAGCATCAGAAAGTATAAAATATGTAGAAATAAATTCAACAATAGAAGTGAAAGATTTGTACACTAAACTACAAACTATTTTGGTGAGAAATTAAATATCTAAAGAGACATTACATCTTTATAGATTAGGAACCTCAATATTTATATGATAATTCTCTCCAAACTGATCAATAATTGATTAATATATTTAATGCAATCTCTACCAGAATCCCAGTTTTTTAAAATAAATTGGTAAGATGACCCTAGATTTGTACAGAAATAAAAAGAACCTGGAATAGTTAAAACATTTTTGAAAAAGAACAAAGTTGGAGGACACAACCCAATTTCAAAACTTATTCTAAAGCTATTGCATTCAAGTATGGACTCAGAAACATTATACTCAATGAAAGAAGCCATACACAAAATATGACATGTGGTATATTCCACTTACAGTAAATACGTGGAAAAGACATTTTATAGGGACAGAAAGCAGATAAGTGGTTGCCTGCAGCTGGAGATGGGAGTGGGAATTGATTCTAAATAAGCTCACCAGAGTTTTTCATGTTGATGGAGCTGCTCTAAAACTGGATTATATTGATTGATGGTTGCACAATCCTACAGATTTACTAAAAATTATTACTTGTATACTTAAAATGCCTGCATTTAATGGTGTGTAAATCATATTTTTGATAAAGCTTTGTTGAAAAACAAAAGGAAAGAAAATGATGAGCCTAGCCAATCAAATTTTCTTTCTGAATAGTCTGAACTGGAAAACCCAACAAACAAACAGCAGGAGTTAGCTACGGGAATTGAAGCTGCAAAGTTTAGTAGTGGGAGTCTGCGGTAGTCATGGTAATTCATGTGCATACCTATGGCATCCAGAAGCAGTTATTATGAGTAAACAGGATTGACAGAAAAGAATGGAGAGTATGTTGGGAGATGGGAATACCCTGTGAGCAAAATTAAATTGCTTGTGTGAGGCAGAGAGAGAAACAGAAGCTAGAACTCCCATGATTTCTGATAGCTTTCCAGTTCCAGTTTCCTCACAACAGATACTTCTCACATTCTCGCCTCCATGATATAAGTAATTTGTATGTATAGTAAACACATCTGAGTGGAAGAGTTAGGAATATAGGTAATGGATGCATTTTTGGTGTATCCATAGTCCATAATAAGAAATAGCTACAGATGAATCATAGTGTCTAAGTCTTTTCTTGGGAAATCTCTAAGGTAGAAAGAGATGGCAAGTAGAAATTGTGACTGTCCAAGACCTACTCTTGTCTAGAAACTTCAGAAACATAATTTTTCTCTCTTTTATTATAATCATCTCAAGCACAACATACAGAAGTTTGCCCAGAAGGAGTCTAATTTCACACTATAATTGTAAACTAATACTTCTTTGTAATGGGACAGTCACCCCGTAGAGGAATTTGAAGAGCAGAATCATCTCTTCTTCATATGAATAACATTTTCATGTAGTAGTGGTTTGGTTTCTGATAAGTAGAACCTATTTTGTAAGTAATATATATCTAAAAGGCACCTTTAGGAAACCAAAATTCATCTACCTATAATATGATGGCCCCTATAAAATAAAAATAAAACTACTATATATACATCTGCAAAGTATACAGCAGCTTCTGGAAAATTAAACTCAAATAATTTGTATCCTGCACTAAATACTCACCCATTCAGTGACTTATGAGGAAGAAAATGTCATTCAGGGTCTGTGATTTATTAAACCTAGTACATGTCAGAAGTATGTGGTCAGCCCATGAGTCAATTAAGACTTTTAATTCCACTTCAATTCATGAAGTAGAATGCTCTCTGCATCTCAGTTCTGGGAACTGTTGTATTGATTTAGCTTCTAAACTCAGTTTAAAATGGCTTTCTTCCAAGTAGTTAAAAAAAACACATCAAAGTCATTTTCTTAAGAAATGAAACACTCTGGAAAGCAGGATAATGAAATAAGCGTTTTTACTGTTGGCCATCGCTTTTGTTATTTGATAAACAAGTTTTATACAAATTTTTTTAGAATTTATTATTACATTTATTTCTGGGTCAGCCATTATTCCCTAGATTCCTTTCTTTTCTCAAGGTGCTTACTGCCCAGCATAGACCCTACTTGATGTAATGAAATTGTACACATTTCCATTTGCCAAGTGATGAAACCAGTACCTCTCCCAGATTCCTGGTTAGGAGAGCACCACTCCCTTTCCACCCATCACACATAAACACATTTAGGATTAATGGATACTGGACAGAGAGATAGACAGAAAACAAAACAATCTACTGTTGGTTTAATGTTGAACAGCTGAAGAATCAGCTCCCTCTTAAACATCTGGGCAATGGTTCCTTGGATAAGAAATATCAGACAAATACATTGTGGGTATTTCATCTCAAGATGAAAACAGTACAGGTTTAATTTAGAGTAGAAGAGCTAGTGAGATTTGTTGCTTTATTCCCTAGAAAGTTGGAATTCAGATCCAAAAAGAAGATCATACTCAAAACATTTCTCTCTAATCTTTTCCTATTCTCTTAGAGTGGTGTGTATTTTTCCTATTTAAAGGGAAACAAATTTCTAGAATCCTAGAATTTTTAAGACAGGACTTCTCATTAATCCAGTGCTCTGACTTTGTTATTTTTAAAATATGGGCTTTTTGAATTAAAAATTATCTTATTTACTAAAAATCTTTCAGAGGATTATCTGTGTACCTGGCATTATCCTGGATTGTGATAAATCGTTGTATATTAGACAGACCATGCTATCATGAAATTTACCTTCTAGTGGATGAAAAAGATAAATAAGTTAAATATTAATAATTCAATATCAGCGATACTCTAAATAATAATAAAACAGTAAAAAAAAAAAAACAAAAAAAAAGCAAGTGATGATGGTAGTGCCAATTTTCACAAGGTGTTCAAAAAAATCCCTCTCTGAACAAGTACCATTTGGAAACAGAACTAAATAAAGTCAAGAAGTTAACATACGGATATTTGGGGAAGAGAATTCAAAGAGGAAATACGAAGTGCACAGGTGGTGATATGTGGGTAGATTTAAGTTGTTAGAATAAAGAGAAGTCATCTGTGGTTGAGTGGAAGGAATGAAGGGAAGAAAAGGTAGCAGATGCCATTAGAGCAGAAATCAGGAGTCAGTCCAGACAGGGCCACGCAGGCCATGGTAAGGACAGTGAATTTTATTCTAATTGGACACACAATGTGATGGAGAGTTGGGAGCAGGGCAATTATATGATATTATTTACATTTTTGAAAGACCTAAATTGTAAAACGACTAGAAGAAAACCTAGGAGAAATGTTTCTTGACATTAGTCTGTGGAAAGATTTTTCAGATATAACATCAAAAGCAAAGGCAACAAAAGCATAATTAGACAATTGAGATTGTATCAAATGAAAAGGCTTCAGTGCAGAAAAGGAAACAATCAACAGGGTGAAGATATAACCTATTGATAATGGTCTGGCTGTGTCCCCACTCAAATCTCAGTTGAACTGTAGCTACCATAATTTCCACGTGTCATGGGAGGGACCTGGTGGGAGGTAACTGAATCATGAGGGCAAGTCTTTCCCATACTGTTCTTGTGACAGTGAATAAGTTTCATGAGACCTGATGGTTTTATAAAAGGCAGTTCCCTTGCACAAGCTCTCTTGCCTGCCGTGATGTAAGACGTGACTTTGCTCCTCATGAGCCTTCAGTCATGATTGTGAGGCCTCCCCAGCCATGTGGAACTGTGATTCAATTA